ACATTTGGGCGCGCATTCATAAGAGCTACTGCAGTAGCGGTCAACTTGACTTCGACTACCTGAGGGCGAGCAGTCAGCGAACCTCGCGCGTAGTATCTGTGTTGGGCGAACTGCAAGGAGCGATCGGTGTAAGCACACTAACTGTACGACGGAGGACGGCAATGAAGGGGCGATCAATACCGTGCCTGGCAACAATGTAAGCCATGGCAATGAGGAAAGATGTCATACTGTCGCAAAAGGAACAAAGAGGTTGTTCCAAGATCTCATATGCCCGGCATGATCTCATCCGACGATTCCACCAACCTGTCACGCCAACGAGGCTGCATCAAAAGTACAGCAAAGCAGAAAAAGCCATGAAAAACGCATGCGGATGTCGAAAGTTTGTCTAACAGTCGTTTCTATATCTATGATAACATTACGGAGGGTGACGTACGATCTATGACCCGATTGGCTGCAAGCGCCAGGGCGCAAACTAAGCCAGGGGCCGAGAACCCTTAGGCAGAGGAACAAAGAAACCGCCCAACCTCTCCAATCTCCCCATCCGCTTCTTCCAGGAAGCCTGGTATTTTCTTTGTGTTCGCGATCGTCAAGTCCAGGAAGCCCGGTTTTACCCAGTGTGCGTCTTTTCTTCTTTGCCCGCAACCGCTATGCGCGTCTTGCCCCACCGGAAATCGTCCATCCTCCACAGCGTGTAGAACTGCGTGCAGACGTTGACGTAGGCCGCGGACCAGGTATAGGCAACGCAGCCAATGACCGTCTGGACAACATCGATGAACGAATCGCACGATATGAGAGTGACCATTAAGTCGAAGACGCGTCGGTAGTACTCGAAAGCTACGATATAAAATATGGTCCGATTGTCCAGGTCACCTATTATGATGTTAGCAAAATTTCAAGAATCACAGCCGGAGTGGTACGTACGGAAGAACCGCGAGATAAGAAGTGCTGGGTTCTGCACCCAATGCGTCAAGGAAGCCAAAGCAGAAGCTCTCTCCATCCAGCCTGTCGATTTGCGACTAAGGAGGAGGCTGTCGCTTGTGAGCGGCCCCAGCGTCCATCTACGGCGTTGACTGACAAAGACCGAAGGCGTAGTCGGTGCCGTAGTGTACGCCCGCGCACTGAGGTTCACACGCGTCCGGACGTGGGCGTAGTGTGCAATGACGAGACAGACGTGATCTCTGTCCTCGCTCATCATGGAACGGACGGTTCGAAACAGACCATCGGAAGCCTTGGGATAGTATCCAAATTTCCCCAGGATGAAGTCGCCCATTGTCTCCTCGCAGACTCGCAGTAGTTGACAGCAGCCAGGCAGGCACGTCACCTTTCCACTTGTGAGACTCTGACGCAGGCGACGCCGATGCTGGCCAACCATGTACTCGGCGTTCTGATAGAGATACGAAATTGTCCAGCCTCCCAAAGCAATCGGGTCGGGTCGAATGTAGCCGGTTACTCCCACGATCTCTTCGCCTTCTCTTGCGGTCTGCATCAGGTTGCGAACGCATTTGGTGTCGAATCGGGTGTCTGCGTCTATTCCCATAGCGTAGTCCACTTTCTGGATGGATTGGGTCTCGAGGAAGCCTGAGAGCTCGGCAAAGAGCTTGGGCGAGATCATCTTCAAATCGGGGTTTGCCTTGCGCTGATTAAATTTGTTCAGGAACGTCCGGATGAGAATGATGCCATCTCGTTTGCCGCGGTTCTCGTTCTTGATAACGCAGATGATTGGAAGCCCTCGGAATTCACCCTTGATGATTTCAATGTCCATTGGGCCGTCGTCCCAGGCAGTATACGCTTCCTTCATGAACGTACTAGTCGGATGCTCAACAATGTCTTCTTTCAGATGGGCGGAAGTCGTCTTGGTCATGCCCTTGCAGCTCACGCGACCATCGCAAACTACGACAATAGCCTTCTTGTGATCAGCCAGCGACTGCTGCTCCGCCAGCGAAACCAGCGAATTCATCATCTCTTCATACGACTCGTTGTAGCAGCAAAGCAGGTAGACCAAGCTCTCCGGTGTTGCGGGGATCGTGATCTTAGGCGGGTTCAATCGCTTTCGAATGAGGGCATGGATGACCATGGTGATTTCGATCATGTCCACAACGGCTCGAAGAATTAGGTTTGGGAAGAGGACCCAGGAATACTTTGCCCAGTTTGCGAACATGTACATTATGAAAAGGCTGAGTGGCTTTATTAGCAACTCGTGTCTTGCGCACTGAGGAGTGATGGCATTGATTCACTTACTTGAATGGTATTAAGATGGCCCATATGACATATTTCTCAATCCTGAGACGATCCGTATTGACATCTGGAAGATGTTCGATAGCGCTGCTCAAAACCTTGGATGAGAAAAAGCGCGATCGTTTCTTGAGATTGCCAGCAATCTGAGCGCCCGAGCTCGCGGTATTGAGGACATCCATCTTCATGGGGAGAAGATAGGAATTCCCGTGTTGTGATGTGGTGAACGGCGAGTGCTACAGGAGCGAAAGATGCTATTCTAGTATTTTGTACAAACGCCATGTACCTTTTCTCGAATTGAGGGTCAAGTGTCAGGGTACGAGCGTCAAACTAAGCATATCCACATTGGAAGTCTGGTTAATCTCTAGAACGCCGGCTAGGCGATACAGTTTCAGGCGGTGTAACGCAGGGACGCCAGGGACGGTGACAGGGCTGATCACCGAGGTACCTCCAGGCGGCGTGACATCTTGTGCCTGCGTGCGTGGCTTTCCTAAAACACATTTTTGTGGCGATTTTTCATGCTGAACATGCATTAGTTCGGAGGTACACCGGTGAGTCCAAACATACGGACCGCTTCGGAACACTTGGTAGTACCGAAGCTAAGACTTGGCGCGTAGCGAGACTCGCTGCTAGTGTATCAATACCGGATGAAATTTTGCCATCGCAATACGGTCCTGTCTCAGTGGGATTGTGCGTTCAGTAGAGTATCAAGATAGGAGTAATTTAGCGAGTTCAAATATATACCTCGTCCCTAAACCATGTCGCCTCTGGGACTTTCTCGATTACTGAGCTTGTTATTTCGTACATCACAATTTGTACAACCACGGATTATCACTGGATTACGCAATTCCCATGGAGAAGTACGATCAGAATTCCGTTGTTGCGATCATCGGAGTGGGATATGTTGGCGAACATCTCATGGAAGTCTTCTCTTCCGCTTACCAGGTTATTGGGTACGACGTCTCAGCTCCTCGAATAGAAAGACTGCGCTTGAAGCACTCCCGGAGAGACAATGTCAAATTCTCAACCGATCAGACTGATTTGAGAGACGCGGCACACTTTCTCGTTTGCGTACCGACCACTCTGGGATTGAACGGCCAAGTCGACTCCTCACATGTTCGCAGCGCAATAGACATGCTGCAACGCTACGCAACCGACAAGTCGATAGTGGTCATAGAGAGTACCGTTGCGGTCGGCATGACAAGAGCACTGCTTGGGCCGCTGGCCGGATCGCGCGGCATTCTTGCCGGGATGTCACCAGAGGTAGGATGACTTTTTGCTCCGAAAGAACGAGGACTGGCTGACACCTACCAGAGAATCGACCCAGGCCGAATCGAGCCGCCGCCTAAATCAATACCAAAGGTTGTCTCGGGGCTCGACGACATTGCCCCAGGCTCGCTGGACGCCATTGTACGTCTGTATGAGACGGTCTTCGATACTGTGATCCCTGTCAGCAAACCCGAAGTCGCGGAAATGTCAAAGTTGTACGAGAACTGCCAAAGGACGATAGCCATTGCGTACGCCAACGAGATGTCAGACGCTTGCCAGGGACTTGGGATCGACCCGTTCGAAGTGGCGCGCACAGCCGCCAGCAAACCTTTTGGGTACCTGCCCATGTACCCTTCATTGGGAATCGGGGGTCATTGCATCCCGGTCAACCCGATCTACTTCATGTCGACGTGCAATCTGCCGCTTCTCCAACAAGCACACGAGAAGATGATGTCGCGGCCGTCGCGAATCGCCAGCCAGCTTCTGGCAACTATGCTAGACGAGTGCCACAAAAATCATGGTTCGACACACCGCCCCAGGCTTCTTGTCGTCGGAGTCGGTTTCAAGCCTGGCCAGTCGGACCTGTCACATTCGCCTGGCCTGCAGTTGCTGAACTACGTGCGACAGTCGGGAGAGGTAGATCTCATGTTTTGCGATCCTCTGGTGAACCAGGAGGCGATACCCGAAGTATCAAGATTGGAAGAAGGTTCTTGGCAGCCTGACGTCTTGAGGTCGTTTGACGCCATCGTCGTAGCGGCGAAACAACCTGGCTTAGATTACACAGTTCTGGAAACCTTGGCAGATGTGCGGATTGAAGTCTGGAACCGATGATAGCTGACGCGGGCGTCAGAGGCCGACACATGTTCAGTCGCATTCGCAAAGTGGCTCTATTGGTTGCTTGGCTGGCCATCTTCTGTACATTACGGTTTTCGCCTACTTAATGGTAATACACGCCATCTTTCGTAATCGGCCCGAGGAAGTGATCGTCCGGTCTTTGCATTCGGTACCCAAGTCTAAGACCGGCTAATTTTGTCTGCACATTTGGAGATCGGGCCTAACGGGCGTTTATTTAGTCGATACCGGCGCTTTGGGGCATTGACCCCTGAGGTTCGGATGTGAGCGGTGAGCTGTTGCACTACCACCGATGGAAACTCAAACACGCGGCGAACAGACGTGAGGGAAGCTTGTGCAACCGGCTTACGGCCTTGCTATGATCGGAACGGATGTAGAAAAGCTGGACAGCGCCGCATCAGTCATCCAGATATCCAATTCATCATGAATAGTGCATTGGGGGCTTACCATCCATTCTACTACACTCCATTGGGAAATGTATGCCCGGTGATAAATCCACTCGTCAACGTTGAGACTATCAACTACGGAAGATGTGGACCAGGAGTTCAGCAACCTGAGTGTAGCCGTTGCTGCTCGAAAGACGTGAGTAGTTGAGATCTTGATACATCAACTGCCGTCTTACTCATCCATTCAAATAGGGCATTCGCATGACACATCCAAACTTTGCTGGTCAACATGCGTGTCTTTGGGACTATGGGTTAGCATGCGATGGCACCCAATGGCCTCCAGGATTCAATACATCAGATACGCCTCGGCCCAAGCTGGGAGATGTTCCCTACGGAACGAAGATCTTTAATTGCAAAGTGGAGAATACGCTTGCCCTCACATACGATGATGGTCCCCGGGAGTGGACAGCAGATTTGCTGGACATCCTGAAGGCCAACGGCGTCAAAGCGACGTTCTATATCAGAACAATTAACCTGTACTGGGAGCTGATAGCCCATAAGTTCGACGAGAGGTCTGCGCTTATTAGAAGAATATACAAGGAAGGACACCAGATTGCAGGGCATACCTGGGGCCACAAGGACTTGGACAAGATGACTCCGCACCAACGCAGAGACGAACAGATAAAAGCAGAGATTGTTCTCAACGACATCCTAGGATTTTTCCCGACCTACATGCGCCCGCCCTTCAACATCTGCGGCCCTGAATGCCAGGCCGAAATGGGAGAGCTCGGCTACCATGTGGTGAGTTTGCAGAGAGCAGTGTGAAGGACCAAACTGACTGTGCCGAAAGACTGCAGCCGACCTTGATGGACGAGACTGGGCAGGTAATTACACCTATACGGAAGAGAATTTCATGGAGAAGATCAAGGGCAAGAACCGTAACGGGGTTCGGGCCTGGTTGGGCCTGGCGCACGACACCCACGAAGGTACCGTGCATAGATACACACAGTTCATGATTGACAACGCACGGGCGCATGGATACAAGCTGGTGAGGGTAGGGGAATGCTTGGATGACCCAGAGGAGAACTGGTATCGGGACCCTTTGACGGGTGACAGGCCTGTCGAAATGCCTCCAAGAGACATGCTGTGATCTATTCTTGTAATTAGCCTTTGATGATAAGCAATGATGTGAACCAGGAATCTGCCTGTCACCAATGCGGGGATGAAAGTCAGGACCGAAAGTGAGAAGCGAAAGTTACGTGCAGTCCATCCATGGATGGGTGCTTGATTAGTGATTATGTTCGGGAACGCGATGACGTTCCTGTCGCGTGCGGAAGATTGTCCGTGCCTCCGCCCGCGTAAACAGCTGTACCAGCAAGCCATCACCTTCATATACCAGCAACCATGTCTCGCACCGCCATACCACGTGCCGCACTACGTCTCAGCTCAAGAAGCCCGTTATGCACATCTTCGAGGTCAATTGAGGCGCCGAGCCGCAGTCTGTAAGCTTCAATTGCTGCTTTGCGCAAACTTCCCCGCTCACACCACTCAGGCCTCTCCTGCGCCCAACACCACAATGCTCGTCCCACGCCACCCGGAGCTTCTCTATAAGCACACAATTGCAGAAGAAGGCCGGTAAAGCGAACAAAGCCCACGCGCGAACCGACTCCGCACCTCCCGTCAGCAACCCGGGCCCATTGACACCTACCGACGAAGCCTACGATGTCTCAGGCCTGGAGGCACAGATCCTCAAGGCTCTGGAGAAGCTTACGCATGACCTCAGCCAATTGCGCAGTGGAGGAAAGACGAACCCTGAGATCGTGGAGAACTTAAAAGTGCAACTGGGCACGGCAGGAAACAAAGAGACGGTGAGACTGGGGGATATCGCACAGGTTGTTCCCAGAGGGAGAATGTTCAATGTCATTTGCGGGGAAGACACGGTAGGTAAAGCCGCTACTACGACAACACCAAGTGTTCTAACACTACACAGCATGTCAAGCACGTCACAAGCGCCATTGCCGCCTCACCGCACTCGCTCACGCCTCTCACGCCCGAACCTTCGAACCCACTCACCATCCAAGTACCGCTCCCACCGCCAACGGGAGAATCGCGTCGCGCAGCCGTCGAGTCGGCCGTCAAGGCTTCTGAGCGAGCAGACAAGCTGATACAGCAAGGACGCCAGGAACACAACAAGAAGTTGAGGAAGTTCGAGCTGAATCGCGATGTGCTACCGGATGACCTTCAGAAGGCGAAGAAGAAGATGGAGGAGGTGGTGAAGAAGGGACACGAGGAGGTTAAGCGCATCAGCGATGGCGCGAAGAGGGTGCTTGAGAGTCAGTAAATAGCATGGAATGGCATACTGCATTGTCGGGAAAGTACAAAAGTATTACATTATCATGCGCAAAACTTCTGGTGCACGACGCATGCGATTGAGAAGTGTTGCGCCTGGGCAGATTTGTGTAGACTCTGCCTTACGTCTGCCTCATAGCAGTTTGCATGTGCTTACACAACTTCTTAGCAAAACGGTGGCCAATCGAGCCATCACGTACTATCTCATACACATGGTACAGGGTTTCAATTGGACGATGTAGCAGCCGGCATCAACACGAGCAATGCGAGCGGCTCAGCCTCCACAACAGTGCTTGGCGCGACACCCGCGCATCATCTGGTGACCATCAAAACCACTACATATAGGGAGTGGCTAGCCAGATTTACATGCCAGGCTCCATATATAGGAAGATGAACATCGCGAGGAAGAGCTATGACGACTGTCATAGAGTCAGATGACACTGGTACAATCAGGCTTGGCGGAGCGGACAGTAAGAAGGTATGTGTGCTGATACCGACAGCCTCTGGCTGGACAGATGTTGACATGATCAGGGCACTACAATCAATACAACGTCCACAACCCGGGCTGAAGGTGTTGTGGTCACTCGCCTGCCTATGGAAGACGACCTCGAACTACCACCTAGCACCGATGCGAAGTCGATCTTCCACATCTACGAGAAGCACAAGTGTCATAAAGGCATTACACCAGTCCTCGATCCTACTCTTGAACGACGGTCTGGCCCAACGATCAAAGAACAGAAGACTACACGCAAGAAGGAGAGAGAGCGTCAAGACGCTGGACTACCTAGTGTAGAACCAGACGATAATGCTTTCTTCCTTCACCGACCATACCTCGCCTTCCACGTACCGCCTCACGTAATTTACACTGGCAGCAGTAATTACACCGCGCAGCCAGCTATCCTGATACAAGAAGGTTGTTTCTGGAAAGAGTATAAACTCCAACTCCTCCCATCCACCCCCGGCATACTCGACCCACGCGGTGTGGTACCATGGCGCCACAACGCTGTAGACAAGAACGCCCTCAAGCACGATCACCATAAGCTCAAAGGGTACAAAGTGCGGACGTGGAGGTTGTGGGGTGAGACGGGCAAGGAATACGTTCATTCCGTGAAAGAAATCCGCAAGACTGGCGAAGGAAGAGATCCCGATATGATTACGACGACGGATGGCAAGTTAGAAGAACCTGCGACGGCCGAAGAAGTGGTGTATCTGCGTTGGAAGAGCCCTCTTTCTCGTAACACGAGATGCTATCATTTCCAGTATGTCGGTATTGACTTTTTCTGGAAAGGAACAGGTACTATCAAGGAATCTCGTACGTGTGGTGTCTTGTTGCGATTTAACCATCTGAAGCTAGTCGCCAGGCTACCAGTCACTGAAAAGAAGAAAGAGGAGCGAGATGAGGTGTGTTTGGGAGTATACACGTCGTCTGTTGCGAGTAGAAAGAGTGGTGCTTTGAAGTTATTCGATGTTGTTATCTTGCGTCTCATCAATGAAAACGCGCCCCAGATGCTACTTCGAAGTGAGGAAGGGGCGGAAGAAGAAGAGGCGGAAAGTACGAGGATCTTGCGGATGAAGAGAAGTAGGATCTATCAGGTGTTTGTAGCTACTGCTATGTGTATGATCAAGAGTGAGAAGGAAAAGAGACATACTTTGCTGGATTTGCTGGTGAATGTTGCTGAAGGTGGTGCGGGTGGCTGACTATGAATGGTTGGTTTCTCTTGAGCATACTCCAGTTTGGATATACCACTAAGTGTCCTTTGTCAAATCATGACAGTGTATGCATGCAGTTTGAGTGTAAAGTATGCTGGTGTGTTGCTGGAGCCTCGGCTGGTTGCTATCGATAAGCGATGCGCTAAACATGGAGGTCATGACGTGGGAGATGGCCATTTCTAAGAATTCGACGCCACCACTCCTCCAATACCCCATCTCCCTTCGCCGATTCTCCTGTATGCCCGCATTTGCACTTCCGAGACAGTACACCTGCGCACGCTGTTTGCGCACGAATCGAAGATCCAATGTCTTCGTTCCATCCCGACCCGCGCCGGCAGGGCCTCTGAGGCGATACGGGCAGACGGCAACACAGCGCAAAGACGAGGATGACGGGAAACAGGAGCTGGAAGACGCAGGAAACAATGGTCATGGACCAGACGCGGAGGCCGAAAAGGAGGAAGGCGCATTCACGCGACGCATGCGAGAAATGAGTGAAGACGCGCTGGAATCGGGAGGGCATGGCGCCGTCAAAGCTGTGGAAGAGGCAGGCTTCAGTGCAGACCTCAAGGCACAGCTCGAACAGCGAATCGCATCTGCAAACCTCCGGTCGTCTGAAGCAGAGCTGCCCGCCTTCGCCTCCCGCCACACACGCGAGCTTGCCACAACAGAAGCCTGGACCGGCACCGAGTCCATCCACGATGCGAGCCTGCGCATGCTGAACGACGCCCATAAGCCGCTGCGACTCGGGCGACCAGCCAAGATGCCAGGCGTTCCTATACCCCAGTCCATTGATACCGGACATGCTCGGAGCAAGGAGGGGCGGGGCGTGAGATTGGCCAACGCACGCGACAGGAGCACCGTCTACGCTTCCATCAACGAAGACGAAAGTATAGAGGCTTTCGACCGAGAGAAGCGATTGCAAGACCTCAAAGACCGCTTCGAACCAGGGGCGCGTACCATCGTCCCTGGCTCTATCCAAGGGATCGCATCTCTTGCGAATAAAAGGATTGAAGATGCCATCGCTCGTGGCCAGTTCAAGAACATCCCGCGCGGAAAAAAGGCCAACATCGAAAGAGACTACAACGCATCGAGCCCCTTCATCGACACGACCGAATACTTCATGAACAAGATTATACAAAAGCAAGAGATTGTACCGCCGTGGATCGAAAAGCAGCAGGAGCTCACGTCGGCTGCAAGCAAGTTCAGAACTCGACTACGGGCGGACTGGAAGAGGCATGCTGCGCGCGTGATAGCCAGCAAGGGCGGATCGCTACTCGACCAGATCAAGACAGCTGAGGCATTCGCAAAGGCAGAGCTGATTGCAAACCCTCTGAGAAGGAAACAACAAGAGACCCTCACCACTGTTGACGATGACGGGCACATGTCACAAATTACCTTGTCAGGAGGGTTGAAGGTAGACTCAGGCGAAGGGTCCAACGCGGAGCCAGTAGTCACGGAAGAAGTCGTAGCAACGAAGGTTACGTTTGATGCCTCCCCAGAAGCTGTAGCGCAGGACCCAGCAGCAGCTACCGTAACAGAAACAACCACGGAAACCATGGAAGTACCTGTTCAAGCTCCCGAACCAACAGTCGCACCAGCACCGTACCCTTTCCGCGACCCAGATTGGGAGCGTATCGAAGGCGGCTACTGGAAAGTCGCCATCAAGGACCTCAATGACAAGGCGCGCAGCTACAACCTCCTCGCACCCGAGCTAGCTAAACGACCCTACTATAATCTGCAGCGCGAGCTGAACTCCTGCTTCGCCGACGTCGCGCCCCAACTCGCCGGGGCCATCCTCGAACGCGCACGCAAACCGCCCAAGAAAGCAGATAGTTGGCAGAGCTCTGGCCAGAAGAGCGTGCTCGACAACATCATTGGAGGGCCAGTCCGCGTACGAGATGAACGCCGCGAGAAGCAGTATGGGTTCCGCCAATTTTGGAAAGACCTCTGGGCCGACAAGTCCAGCAACCCTTATTGAGCCAGTCACCACCAAGCCCGATCCTCGCATCCTCATCCCGCGGACTCCGAAACGCTCTCGTCACCGTGTCCTTTCGAAACCCACTCGCCCACCGTTGTATGTAGCTACCGCGCCCTTGCTGCACGACATCGAGAGAGAGGAACATGATCGACACGCACATACGCTTTCGCCTATCCCTGGCTGTAATCCTTTGTAGCGACCTCGAGGTCAGCGATCAGCAACACGAATTCCAGGTTTTCAAGTTCTTGTTCGGTGCTTGTCATGGGCATATGCACGTGTTTTCGAATGGGGACGGATCTACATCCTTTGACCCGGAATGAGCGGTGCCCCCCGCTACCGACGCCCTGGGTCGATAACGCAGGCGTGAGGCGTCGGGAGTGCCGTGACGGGCAGGGGGGTTGGATGAAGTACTACGGCTGTACACCACACCACAACAAACACCAACAAGACGCATCCATGGGGTTTCGCGACTTACCCAATGTCCCAATCTGTCGTCAGCTGCATGAGTCCGCGGAGCTCGGCGAGTCCGCCCTACGTGGGAGAAGAAAGTGAGGCGTTTGTTGTTGCTTTCGAACCTGTTTACCGGGAAACCACGTTCTCTCGGATTCGGATACGCTTAATACGCGACTTTCATGCGTGAATCTCGATGGTCGCGTTTAGCCAACTATTGGTCTCTCTGATATACGCAAGGGAGACGGTTGCTTAGTTGAGCTGACCGGGTTCAGCTCCTCGGCTCGGATGCATTGTTACTCAACCGGGCAGTACCTGCATATGGTTTCTCGGGTCGCTCAAGCGGCAGTTCTAGGCGGTACTTCCATGCGTTTTCCTGCTCTATAGCCAAGCGTTGTAGAGCTTACACGAACCCGACAGCCTGTTAGCGTGTAGACATGCGCCGAGGTAGAGAGCAAATTATGTTGGTTATCGGTGTGCATGTCGCTTTCTCAGCACCTCGCGTGTATGTATGTGTATGTGTGGATGACGGATGAAAGACGGCAGCGGAGTACACCGCTGCGTTATGGTTGTCATGTCTTGGCGGCTTCAGATACTTGGAGTAGGTCGCCGATATCCGGGTCTCTCTCTTCCAATTACTTCGCCTTTTTCATAGTGTTCGGGATGTCTCACTGGTTGCTTCATTTTATTCAGCACTATCAACAATACACGTGCGGTGATGCTTGGGTCACCAGTGTCGGGATTTGGCGGGTTGCTCTCGATACGAGTTTGTACTGTTGAAGCTCGCGAGTAATTTACATTGGTGCGTTCTACTCGCCAGGCGTGAGATACTGTACTCTGACGTCGATCGTGATGCTTGAAGTTATCTACGTATGCACTATCAAGTTGCCGATATGCAGCGCGGCATCCCGTTCGAAGATCAAAGCAAAGAAGACGTCAGACCAGTATTGTTGTTTGCTTCTTCCGTGTGGGGTAGTAGAGTAGCCGCCCCTGTCGTTTAGCACTATCATGATAGCGTATACTGCACCCGCATGCACATCATTCACATCTCAGAAGAACACATGAACGAAACGCAAAAGCAACATCACTTTCCAGTCCCCCGAAGAACTACTCTTGAGTCATTGCAAAGCAAGCATCATTGGTGGAACAACCCATCCCTTTCAGAAAAAAAGGTAACATTGTCGATCCCACCCCATTACCATCCCCACACACACCTCCATCGAGCCAACTAACAACATACGTCTAACCATATCGCGTAATCCTACTTTGCATCGTATCCAAAAGCAGTAACGAATGTGACCGTTTCCTTCTTTCGCAGGTTCCCAAAGGGGAACGAGCATACTACCAAGCTATACCGCTTCCAGCGACGACCGCAATGCCTGTTTCTGATGAGATGTGACAAGACCCGCTTTCGTTGTGGTACCGAACTGAACAACCACGTACCCGCACACACCTGTGTGGCAGCTGTCACAGCGGATGCGGTCTAGCCCGTCAGCTTAGCCACGCGCGGTAGCGGTGCTGGATGCCACACCCACGCTGACGGCACTGTCACTGCGCGTTCTGGAGTGGTGATTCGAGCCGGTGGACGAGTGCCTCTTCTCCTTGCGGACCGTGGTGCGCTGGCGTACGGTATTGCTGACCTTCCGTTCGGTTCCGGTCACGACCCGCGCGTTGGGTAAGGCTGCATCCACGTCGACGTCGTTTGCGTTGGAGCGAGGGCTTTCCTTCTTCGATACGCTCTGCGTGTTTGCTGTGTGGTTGCTGCTCTTGCCAATGCACGTCTTGTTGGTAGCGCCGCTGGCTGTCGTCTTGCCTGCACCGTCGTATGGCTGGCAGAAGCAAATCCGCAGTATGTGCCCGGCAAGCGGTCCGAGGACCCCTACTTCGCGCCGAGCTGTGGGTTGACGGGGGTGTACTCGTTTCTTTCTAGGTCTGGCTGTAGCCTCACCTGCGCAGCTTCGGGGCATGCTAACGTATGCGGTTGCTGCGGCTCTACGGTTCGCAGCCTTTCGCTTGCGAAGGACCCTTCCTTTTCCAGACGAGGTGCAACTTGCGATGATGGCCGTGATCAATCGGGCTCTGTGGAACCTCGCCTCATATTTGAGGTCCTCGGCGAATGATCGAGCTGATCTGCGAGGTTTGTAGCGCGGGCGTACATTCAGCTTCTCGTACGAATGACGCGGTCTGGAGCAAGGCGCAAGACTTTCGGTTTGCGCTATGCCGTCACAGCCTTGAACTAACGGTGCAGGCAAGATGAACGAGTCTATGGAGCCAACCGTAGAGTCGATCTGCGACTGCTCAGGGCGTTTGAAGTTGTGATGGAAACGTAGGTGCATAGGGAGCGGAACCGAGGATGTGGGTGGTGTGGTCATTGGCCTCAAAGAGGGCCTTGGAGGTGGCAGGCATGTCGTTGTCGGGAACGCACGATAGGTTGCAGGTGTGGTTTTGTTATCGTAGTACGATGTGGTTGCAGTGGGTGAGCCGCTGAAGTCCGAAGCGCTCGTAGTGCCTGGCGTCGAACTACCCTCTGGCTGGATAAGATTGCCGGACGGCGAGAAGAATGAAATCTTCGGTGTGTCGTAGTTGGGGCGAACGATGCCCGATGCTGCAGCTATTGGTAGTAAAGACGTCAATGCGGATGAGGTGATTGAGCGACGCGTAGGTTCTGCCTCAGCAACTTGATCCGGCTCCGGAGGTGACTCAGAGAGTGAAGCTTGCCGTTCTAGCTCGGCCATCTGCGGAGTGAACCATACTGGCGCGATAGGTGTGGGCGAACGCGAGGGACGCACTGGATGAGGGAAGTCGTGCTGAAGGTCGACATCGACACCAACTACTGTTCCCGAGTAGGAAGTGGACATGGTACTACAGAAGCTCGCATTGTGACTAGCCTCAGTCGCGTGGTCATGCTCTGTGAGTGAATGGTTGTTCTTACCTGCACCATAAAATGTGTGTCCAGCTGAGATAGTGTTGTTGGCCTCGTTTGACAGCGTTGGTACTCTAGCGCTACCGCCATCGTGCGCCCCATCGCGTGCTTCCGGGTACACAAGACGCACAGAAGAGGACCGTTCACGCGGGCGGACTGTAGCCGACGGTGGTAATAGCTTTGACACGGCTCCAAATGCCGTTTGCGACTCGAGCGTATACGGGTCGACGTCAGAATTGGGGACTATCGCATGAGCTGAGAAACTAGGATCAGCCATGGATGACTGCCCGTTTCTGGCCTGATTCTCTGAAGCTAACGCTTTAGTCGCGCTTAGGGCCTGGGATGCAGTAGGGAAACGATATGGCGTGTCAAATGTGTCATCGCCCAGTTGAGACATGTCAGATGCCTGCAATTGACTTTGTAGGCTATCCTCGCTCGCACCCGGCCGATCGCTATGGTTCTCAACGAGCGACATCTGCGTCGAGGACGACCTAGACCGGGTTCTCGAGGCAGCTCGAACATTGTGTATAACGCCACGAAAGAAGCTTTTGACATTGCTGGTATTAGCGTCGGAGTCGGCCTTGCCATTCCGATGGGTAATAGATTGCGATGGCTTAAGACTGGGAAACGCGGATGGGATTGCGGCATCATCAGCCCGGAACGAGTTGCTGTAATCCTTGCACAAGGGCACATCGTGTGTATTGCTTGGTGCTTTCAACAGATGCCCTCGCTGCACATCTTCTGTGATGCGCTGGAGAACATGTTCTTCTGGTGTGTATGAGATTCTGTGTGACGAGCGCGTCGGCGAGGCATTTTCCACCACACGGAGTGAAGGGAAGCGGCCCACGCTGAGGAGGGAGCCATGTGAGTTTAGCGTCGAGTAAGAACCTTGCTCCACAATAGTGGCTAGAGGCGCGCCATTGGAGCGATTTGCGAGCCGAACGGCAAGATTGTAGGGAACGCCTCGAGCTCTGGCCTGCTGCTGATATTCCATGGCGTGCTGCATATCTCCGGTCCCGGTAATATCGTGGCAGGCATAATCATCGTGATCTTGTGCGATGTAATGCCGATCGCGCCCTTGGCCTTGCGTTTGCGGTTGCATTTGCGACGAGCTCGTACCTAGGAAAGCTCTGTAATAGGCGAACGGATCCGGCTGCATGGCATGGGTCGATCGGAAGGACGGAATGGCGTGGGTCTCGTTCAACGGATCTGATGGAGCTGGACCACATATTGGTTCCTGGCCGTTGCTGCGGTCTAGTAGACTGGCGTCGCGGGGCTGTGCTGTAGGCATGATGCTCATGTCCTGTCATCGATATTGTCAAAGATGAGATCCGATCGATGCTAGATCATAATGTGCATGAGTGTGGGACCCTGCTGATAGCAGAGCAACTTTGTTTGTGCGCCGCAGGGCATCCTGGGAAGTAGCAGGCCTTCCGCAGCGCCCTTTCCGAGATTGTATTGTTTAGGCAGGAGCAGCCATGACCTGCTCCTGTGCAACCGCCCTGTCGTATCTCGTGGCGGCTCATTCACCACTCGGAGGGCATGACCACGGCCATGGTATTCGCCGACTAAAGTCTCCCGAATCGTATGACCATTGCAGTCCGCCTAGGAGACAGCTCCAGTGTTT